GTGGGCTTTTGTTCTGAGGAGGGTCCAAGAGGCTGACTACATGCCGCTCACAGACTCCAATTGGGTCTTTCTCCCTTTCTCCTCTCCTTTTTCCCTTCACGTCTCCCCACAGCACCCCACCGACCCGGGGCCTGCCGGCCATCAGCCGGGGTCCTCCCAGTGCCCCCCAGTCCCTTCTTCCAAGGAGCAGAGAGAGAGGTGGCCACAGGGGATGGCTCTGTCCTACCTTCACTCTCTGCTCCTAAAGGTGGGAGGAGACCAGTGGCCCATGAGTCTGGTCTGTGAGCCCCTCAGCAGCCTGGTCACTAGGCCTCACCCTCCCCACTTTGGTTCTTCAGATGCTCTTGGGGCTCATGGGAGCAGGGCCTAGTCAGCCAGGGCCCCTGACCCTCCAGGCCCTGCTTCCCTCTCCCTGGCGGTTGTCATTGGTCTGCCCTTCCGTAGAGAGGCCTGCTTTGTGCTTGGTCTCCCTCCCACAGCCGGGATCAGTACCCGGGGCCTCTCTTAAGATATCCAGGGCCCCGGGTCTTCGGGCACAGCCAGCCCAGACTTCGGGCCCTGGCAGAGTCCTCTACCCCTTCACTAGAGTGCTCTGAGCCTGGGCTTTCACAGGCCAGTTCCACCGTCTCCCCAGCTTGAGCTTGTGACCTTGGGACCAAAGCAAGAGTCCCTTGTCCCTTGTGGTTCAGCAGAGGCAATGCCAGGTTCAGGGAGGGACCATCTGGCCTGGAGGCTCAGCCCCGACCCCCAGCTTGTCCTGGAGGATTCTGGAGCAATCCAACCCTTCTCCAAATGCTCCAGTACCAGCTGGGCAATGCCAGCCAATCCCTGGCCATTTGGCCCCAGGGGATGTGGGCCCTGCAGGCTGCGGGAGGGTGCTGGAGCTGGGGCAGCGGGGAGGTCTCGTTCCAGCCCCTCCCCTTCTCGGGGCTGCTGTGTGGACGGCATTCCCTCAGGACCCTCCTATCTGTACCTGCCTTTACTGTGTTTAACCTTTTGTTCCAGGATGCATTCTGATAGGAGGGGCGGCAGGGCCGGGCCTTGTGGCACTCTGCCTTTCACCACATGGCCTGGCCTTGGTGACCCTGACAGGGAGGGCCTAGAAGGCAGAGAGGGAGGGAGTCTCAGGCGGAGGCTGCTCTGAGGGGCTGGGAGGGGGGTACCTCATGAGGACCAGGCTGGAGCAGAGAAGAGGAGGAGGTGGGAGGTGGAGGAGCTGGGAGCCGAGGGAACGGGCAAGTGAGAGGGGAGGGGTGAAGTCTGGGGGGTCCTGAGCTGCTGTTACAGTCTAACCCACTAATCAGTTCTTAGATTCAGGGGAGGGGAGGGCACCAACAACTCAGAATGGGGGCCTTTGGGAGGGCACCTAGTGCCCCCAGCTCTAACCAGCCGGGAAGGACTAACATCTAAGCCTCTGGATTGCCATGTGATGGTGTGCCCCCAGCAACTCTATGACCTGCCCCCCGCAGAGGCAGGATGAACCCGTAGGGAAGTGATCGTAACGTTTATCATGTTGCTTCCCCACCCCCACATTTTTTGAAATAAAATAAGTAATTTTATTCTCACTTCCTGTGTTTCCTGATGCGAGTGCCAGGCCATGGTATGGGGTGGTAGAAGGGGCTCTCCTAGCTGGGCCTGGGCACCAGGAGGGGTCCCCACGCTGTGTCTCTCCGTATCCCCCCTCCCCTGCCGCCATCCTGCCCGCCTCTCCCTGCTGCCTCTCATGTGCATTCTGGGATCCGGAACTCAGTGGAAATGACCCAAAAACATTGATCACGAAGTCAGGAGGTGGAGACCAGCCTGACCAGCATGGTGAAACCTCGTTTCTACTAAAAATACAGAAAAAAAGATAGCCAGGTGTGGTGGCACATGCCTGTAATCCTAGTTACTCAGGAGGCTGAGGCAGGAAAATCACTTGAACCTGGCAGGCGGAGGTTGCAGTGAGCTGAGGTCACGCCACTGCACTCCAGCCTGGGTGACAGAGTAAGACTCTGTCTCAAACACAAAACAAAACAAGCAAAAAAGCACATTGGCTCACCTTGCTCTCAGCAGCCGACCCCCACTCAATTCTAAAACAACAGCACTGGTGCTCTTAGCAGCTGACCCTGACCCAAGGAGGGCAGCATGGAGGGGCTTGCAGAGACCATCTTCCTCACATACTCCCTCCCCAGCTCTCCCAGAGCTCAGTCTGCCCTCCCACTCCTGTGCCAGGGCAAACAGAATTCCTGGCCACCTTAGAAGGGGCTGAAGAAGACCAGGTGCGGTGGCTCACACCTGTAATCCCAGCACTTTGGGAGGCCGAGGTGGGTGGATCACGAGGTCAGGAGATCGAGACCATCCTGGCCAACATGGTGACACCCCACCTCTACTAAAAATACAAAAATTAGCTGGGCATGGTGGCATGCGCCTGTAGTCCCAGCTACTTGGGAGGCTGAGGCAGGAGAATTGCTTGAACCCGGGAGGGGGAGATTGCAGTGAGCCGAGATCCTGCCACTGCACTCCAGCCTGGTGACAGAGTGAGATTCTGCCTCCAAAAAAAAAGGTGGGGCGGGAGCTGAAGAAGGCTCTGGCGGCTGATTCTGTCTTGTGGCCCCATGCCCATATGTGCAGTGGCTCATTCAGACCCACAGGCTGTGGGGAGGCTGATATCACCCTCACCCAGGGTCACCAGTTCATAGGCACAGAGATGGGTCCTGGGTGTGTCTGACCCCAGAGCCTGGGAAGCATCCCAAGGAACATGCCAGGAGCACTTGTCCAGTCAACCTCCCACGGGCCCCCATGCGGCTCTGTCATCGTCTCTGGGTCGGCCCTCCTGGCAGGGCTGAGTCTGGGAAGGTGTGCCAAGGGAGGACCACGAGGCACTGTCTAGTCAACACCTCAGGCCTCCACTTGGCTTTGTAGCTGCTCCTGAATAGACCTCACCCCTGGTTCCCCAACCCCCACTTTGCCTGGCTGAAATCTAGCCAGGTAGGGACAGCCAGCAGACTGGGTGGGGTACGTGTGGCTCCCTAGTGGCCATGGGGTGTCCTGAGTAAAGCCTGGCATTATACAAGCCCTGAGCGAGGAGGCAGACCTGCCCCGGATTCACCAAGCAGCCCTGGGGAGTCCTTTGCCCTCCCTGTCTCTGGGGACCACAGTTCACGGGGCTAGGCTAGAGGCTAGAGGGGGCCCAAGGATGCCATTATCTCAATACCGGCTTACCCTAGGCCTTGCCTCTTAGTGGACCCACTGGTGTTGTCCTTCGAGGTTGCAAGACCCTGGCAAGAATGCCTCCCGCCCTCTGTCTGGGGCATGTGCCCTGCCTCCAGGATGGCAACCTGCCCAGGCCCCCCAACCCTGCCAGGTAGAAATCCAGGGTCCATCACCCATAACAGCCTTGGGGCTCAGGGTTGGGGAGACAATTCCAGATGGTCGGTGGGGCTGTGAGCGAACCAGGTAAATCTTGGCCCAGCCTCACCGGGCACTTTGGAGCTTCTCTGTGGCTTCCCCAGCCCCGTCCAGCCCCGCCTTGCCTTTGAGCCCTTCCCTGGCTCAAGAAGCTGGGGACATTCATATCTGCTCTCTGCTTAACCACCCCCTCCTGTCCCTGAACTCAGCTGACCCCCTTGCCAACACCGCCAGAGTTGTGAGTTTCTAATCCCTATCCCCTGCCAAAGTCATGGTGCCCGAATATTTGAGGCCCTGAGTGATCAAACCCCAGCGCCTCCATCACAGGCCATGAGGCTGAGCCCAGAGAGTGTGAGGCCACACACACAGCAGCAGGATCCTGCCTCTAACCCGCAGGCTCCTGGTCACCTCTCCTGCACTCAAAGGGCTGGTTCCCAGACCAATGCACCCTGCCCCCATCCCATCAAATGTCAGACAGCTCCCAGGAGGCCCAGTGGAGGGCAGTTAGTCTCTGTGGAAGAGATAAGAGTGGGGTGGCTACGAAGATAAAAGGGTATCAGCTTTGTGGGTGGTGGGGGCATCCGCAGGGCCCCAGGCCTAGGCTGTGTGTGTGTGTGTGTGTGTGTGTGTGTGTCTGCGGCACCAGAGGCGGATCCTCCTCGGGTGTCTGGCTGGATACTCCAAAGCCCTCTGGACCCAGTGGGAGGGGAGAGGAAGTCTACCAAGTTGGCTAGGGCAGAGCTGGCAGCCGCCGAGGCTGGGCTTGGGCTGATGTCAGGAGCGGCAGGCCCTTGCTTGTGTGAAACACTGCCTTGGGGACATCAGGAATCCTCAGCTGACCTGGCTGCACCATCCCCCGAGAGATATGCCCCTCTGGATAAGAAGCTGCCTCTCAGAGTCCCTGTTCAAACATTTGAGAGGGAAATGGGGCGCTGTGGGGAAGGCTTGCCCCAGGCTGAAATGCCAGTGCCCATGAGACTATTTTTAGAAAAAAAATTTTTTTTTTGCTTGAGATGGAGTCTTGCTCTGTTGCCAGGCTGGAGTGCAGTGGCAGGCTCTCAGCTCACTGCAACCTCTGCCTCCCAGGTTCAAACGATTCTCCTGCCTCAGCCTCCTGAGTAGCTGGAATTATGATGAGTAGCTGGAATTACCATGCCCAGCTAATTTTTGTATTTTTAGTAGAGACAGGGTTTCACCATGTTGACCAGGATGGTCTCGATTTCCTGACCTTGTGACCCACTCGCCTCGGACTCCCAAAGTGCTGGGATTACAGGCCTGAGCCACCGCACCTGGACTCGTTTTCCTTCTCTAACCAGACTGGCTTCATACACAGAACAAGCAGCCACCCAGTGCGCTAAGATTTCGGGATCACGTCCCCATTGTCTTCCACCATCACAAATGCTCTGCTTTGTATTTTAAAGGCATTCAGGTCTTTTCTTCTACATCGTCCCATTCAAGAGCAAGTGTCCAAGAGAAAGAGTGACAGCAGCCAGGAGATTGGAATAGGCCAAGCAGTTAGTGCTGGCTCATTGCCCCTGGACATAGTGTGTGTGTGGGGAACCCTTGAGAAATCCACTGCCTCCTGTTCTGTCACAAAGGAGTTAGTTGACCCCCTGTTCCGCCCCTCCCAGCCACTCCCCACATGCCAGGCAGGGGCTGGCTCCTGAGCATCATCACTTCCAACATCTGCCTGGGCTGGGAGACCCATAGCAGCAAATGTTGGTGACTGAAGGAACAAAGCAACGCTGTGGTTTCGGCTTCCCTCGGGAGCTGTTTTTCCTCTGGGCCCAAGTCTTTTGTGCAGACAATAAAAAAGGAACACTGGCCAGGTGAGGTGGCTCATGCCTATAATCCCAGCACTTTGAGAGGCTGAGGTGGGCGGATCATGAGGTCAAGAGTTCCAGACCAGCCTGGCCAACATGGTGAAACCCCATCTCTACTAACAATACAAAAAATTAGCCAGGTGTGGTGGCACACATCTGCAGTCCCAGCTACTCGGGAGGCTGAGGCAGGAGAATCGCTTGAAATGAACTGGGAGGCAGAGGTTGCAGAGAGCCAAGATGTCACCACTGCACTCCAGGCTGGGTGACAGCAGAAGACTGCATCTCAGAAAAAAAAAAAAAAAAAAGAACATGGTTTTTCAGAGGTTTCACCAAAGCCTCTTTCTTTTCGCAAACCTGGTCTCTGTGCCCTAAGCCTTTGTTCTGAGACGAAGAGACCAACAGATGGAGAAGGGGGAGCTCAGCTCAGGACTGAGAGGGTGACCTGTTCCAGGGGCTCTAGCATGGGGTACATTGGGACAAAGCAAAGATTTCCCCAATAGTGATGGATCCCAGGTGGTCGGAGAGACCTAGGAGTGGCAACTGAGGGCGGGGCCTCCCAGGGGTCTGCGAAGCAAGTTACCAGGTAACTGCCCTTGGCCACCACCAGTGGCAGCAAGGAGCACGCCCCGCCCCACACTGGCACAGATGCTCCGGGCGCCCCTGGGTGGCGCTGCAGGCTCTGCTGTCGTGGGTCCTCGGTGTTAGCATCTCCCTGGCGAGCTCCTTGGAGCCAGCGCGCGCGGCAATCCCTAACAGGGTATGGATGGAACCCTGCCAGGCCAGGGATGGAGGGAATGCCATTCAGAGCCTGCCCTGGCTCAGGGTGCCTGCGTGGCACCAGGAGCGAGCAGGATTTAAACAGGTGGGACAGGAAGGGGGTCCCCACAGAGGGAACAGCCTGTGCAGAAACCCTGAATGCAAGCCATACCCTGGGCATGCCTTTGAGGCAGGAAGTACCTTTCAAGGAGCATCCAGTCTTACCCTCGGTTGAAAACTGAGGCTCAGAGAAGGCAAAGAACTTGTCCCAGGTGAGAGCAAATGGTAACCCCGGGGCATTGGGTTATGTGCATAAAAGTTGTGAATAAACTTCTGTGCCTGCTGCTCCGCCCTTTGCCAAGAGCCTTTCTTCCATCACCCTAGGTGCTACTGCTCAGAGGGTTCAAGGAACTTCCCCCAAGGTCACACAGCCTGCGTCCTGGCAGAGACAGGACTTACCCCCACCCCACCCCCAAGTCTGTCTGATTTGAGTGGATCAGGGTGGGGCTGGGTGACACCTGGAGGAGCGCAGGTACCTCACTTACAACCAAGTTGAAGGGGCTGCCACCCTCTGCTTCCCCCACCTGCCAGGAGGTCTCTGCTGGCACTACCCTGGGCTGGGAGGCCATGGGGAGCTTTGGGGTGTTTGCTCCTGGGACTGGGAGATGATGTGAGCCAAGGAGGGCCTCCCCCAGTGCTCCCCTGCCTCAGAAGTCAGGGTGAAGGAAGCAGGACCCAGACATCCCGTCTGTCTGTCTGTCATCCTCAGAAAATGCACACCAAGGTCTCCTGGGCCAGCTCTGAGCTGCCACCAGCCTCCAGCAGCTAATGAGGTCAGTGTTTCAGGTGCTGTCATGGAGACCCTGGCCACAGGCTGGGCAGGGCAGAGGAGGAGCCCTGTGGGTCCAAGAGAACGTCCTAGAAGGGGAGCCCCTTGGAAGAGCGGCAAGAGCTTATGGGAATGTGCCCCGCAGAGGAAGCAGGTGGGAGACTATGGTGATCAACTTGAGCACTGAGGGGAGCTTTCTAGCTGTCTTGGAAGAGAAGACGTTCATGGGCAGCCACACTCAGGGCCAGCTTGTGTGTGTGTGGAGTGGGGGCGGGTTGATGAGGCAGCACACGTTTCCCTCCAGCTCCATCCCATGGAGGATGGTCCTGGGAAGGGCTGAACAGGAACTGGCAGAATTTGCACCTTTTCCATCTCCCAGACAACCCAGTCCAGACCAATGGAAGCCCAGACAAAGTCGGGGGGCAATCCCTGCAGCTGGTGGGGCGACCCAGGCTCCCACTCCAGAAAGGCCTCACAGACATCCTCACTCAGCTTGATTTTTCAAGCTGCCGACCATCAGATGAAACCCTCACTCGGCTTGGAGCTGCTGGGGTGTGTGGGTGCTGGGGACTGAGTCCAGCCAGATCTTCTTCCCAGTTCTAGGCGCCCCGAGAAGCATCTCAAAGCCCTCCACGGAACTGTCCAAAACACACAGGCACAGTCCAGCCAACGCCAGACGAGCCCAAGACCTGACTCCAGGGACTCGGGGACAGGAATGGCCACATCTCGGGGTCCAGCTTCTTCACTGCAGTAACTACAGGTGGGCTTCAGAGAGATCGACATTGCCTTCTTGGGACACTGGGCAAAGGCTGCACCACCACCGCTGGTGTGATGCCAGTTGTGGTGCTGAGATCAGCAGGTGGCCCACTGCGTGGGGCACTTTGACACCCCCATTGTAGAGGACTGTGGGAGGCCAGTGCAGGTCCAGAGCCACAACCATCTTCCCCAACCTGTGTCCAGAGGTGTCTACAGACACGGCCCCCAGGCCTGGGTCCTGCTCATCCCATCATGCAGAAGGGTCAAGTGACTTGAAGTCCAGCATACACAGGAAGTGAATAGGCCCTGGGGCAGGCCTGAGTCCAGGCATCCATGGGCATCTAGAGCTGAAGGGAGCTCCTTAGCCTTCCCTGCCCCTGCCCCAACAACACACACACTGAGGGCCGAGAGCCTGAATGCTGATGGGGTATCTGGGCAGATGCCAGCTTCAAAACTCATTCAAATTCACCACTCCACTCCATAATACATCTGGATGCATTTTAATATTAAAAATAACAGCTTTCCCCTGATTCTTGCTCTAGGAAAATGTGCTATGCTCACCTTCCCTCTACCCCGTCCCATTAGGCCCACAGCCAAGGCCTAGGGCTGCTGAACACACATGTGAGGGGGCCGAGGGGAAGATAACAGTACCAGGAGGGCAGGCAGGGCACTCCCAGGCTCGCCAGTGGAGGGGCAGGGGTGTTGATCCTGCCAGGGGCTGGCTTGGCTGCTGGTGCCCTGAGCCCTTCTCTGCCCCAGGGGGTGCTGCCTTCACTGATGGAGGTAGGTGTCCAGCCAGATGTCACCAGACTTCTTCAGGGACCTGGGAGGTTGGTGTGGATGTTAGGAGCTCAGTTTCAAGATGCTAACACCCTATATCTCCCATGGTAAGTGTCAGTGGAAATATCCCATCCCTGTGGGTTCCTTTCCCTGGGGGCAGGCAGTGATGCGGGACCCGGAGGCTGGGTTGTGAGAACAGCTGAGTGCTCATTCTCTGGAGTGGAATCTAGACCAGGTGAGCGGTGTGGGGTAGGGGAGTTGGACAGTAGCCAAGGCCAAGTTCAGGCATGAGCCTCGGGGGAGCTGTCCCTCCTGCACCCAGTTCTCCACTGCCTCCTCCTGCTGGGCACTGCAACCCAGAGACAGAACCTGCCTACCCAATGTTGGTCCCAATATTGAGCAGAGGAGCCAGAAACATCAACAACTCGCTAGGAAACCCCGTGCCAGGTGCTCTAAAGGGGCTGTGCCAAATGCCAGGGGCTCAGAGCATCAGGCTGGGAGGGGTCATGGAGGAGAAGTGGGCATCTGAACACCAGCACAGGAAGGAAGGGCATCCAAGTAAGGGGAACAGCATGTGCTAAGGCGCAGAGGTGTGAGACCTAGAATCTGGCCTCTGTTCCCCATCTCCAAGGTGGCCACAGGGCTGAGTGGCCTCCACTCTACTCTTTCCACTTCAACTCCTGCCCGCCAGTCATTCCCAGTAGGGGCAGCTCTTCAAGATGCAAGCTGGGTGTGTCCCTCCTCTGAGCCCCTGCATGCCTGCCTCAGTTATCTATGCCATGAGCTTGGCATTCAGGGTCAAGCGCCCTCTGCCTGAACGCTCTTCACCAGATGTCCCCAGGGCAAGGCCTCTCCCCTCCTCCCTGTCCCTGCTCACGTGCCAGCCTGTCAATACTGCCCATCCTACCACCTTACTAAAAATGCAGCCCCAGCTGGATGTGGTGGCTCATGCCTGTAATCCTAGCACTTTGGGAGGCCGAGGTGGGAGGATCAGGAGGTCAGGAGATCGAGACCAGCCAGGCCAACATGGTGAAACTTTGTTGCTACTTAAAAAACAAAAACAAAACTAAAAAATTAGCTGGGTGTGGTGGCGGGTGCCTATAATCCCAGCTACTTGGGAGGCTGAAGCAGGGGAATCACTTGAATCCTCGAGACAGAGGTTGCAGTGAGCTGAGATCCCGCCACTGCAGTCCAGCCTGGGCGGCAGAGCAAGACAGTCTCAAAAACAAACAAACAAAAAAATCATGTCTCAGGTGGCCAAGTGACGGCAGACCCCCTCACACGCCCTCTAAAAAGTACCCTCTGTATAGCAAGCTTGCAGGGTGAACGTCATGCAGGTGGTCCTCATGAACCTGACGACCACTGGAGATTGAGAAACGTCTACAAGAGGGGGTTCTCTGTGCCATGAGCTTGGCATTTAGGGTCAAGCATCAGTTATCAGACAGTTTTGCTTGAAGATGCATTGCCCTTGCCATCCAACAGGCTGTGTTCCCACAGTTGGAGATCAAAACAGGCTCCAGGGAGCTTCTTGCCTTCTTAGAGCTGAGCAAATAGCAAGCAGTTAAAATAACAAGTAAATTATAGAAAATGGGAGATGTGATTTGGCAAACAATAAAAAGCCCCTCAGGGTGGGAAGAGGTGAGGGGAGTGGGTGACCAGGCAGGGGCTGCATTTTTTTTCGTTTTTTGAGACCGAGTCTCGCTCTGTCTCCCAGTCTGGAATGCAGCGGTGCAATCTCAGCTCACTGCAACCTCTGCCTCCCAGGTTCAATCAATTCTCTTGCCTCAGCCTCCCAAGTAGCTGGGACTACAGGTGCACGTCGCCACACTCGGCTAGTTTTTTGTATTATTTTAGTAGAAATGGGGTTTCACCTTGTTGCCCAGGCTGGTCGCGAACTCCTGACCTCAACTGATCCGCCTGCCTCAGCCTCCCCAAGTGCTAGGATTAGAAGCATGAGCCACTGCTCCCAGCTCTGAGACATGGCTTCTGTTCATAAGTCCCTATTGAGTGTTTCTGAGAAAGTGGATCTTTCAGCTTCTTTCCTTCAGCCTTCGGGGGTAGGTTTGCATAGACCTGCTCACCGCAGGCACCGCTGGGTTTGTGGGACAGCGGAGTCTGCGGTAGGTGCTCCAGAAATTCTTGCTGTGTGCATGAAGGCTGGGGAAGCAGGGAAGGGCATGGGATGAGGACAGAAAGGCCTGAATGGCAGCTCTTAGGAAGGGGCCCATAAGGCTCAGAGGCCCCAGGGGGCCAGAAGGAGGCTGACCTGGACAAGAGCAGGCATAGACCCTGGGGAAGCCACCGAAGCCAAGGGTTCGGGCTGCAGCCTCACCTGACAATGTCCACCAGCGCAGTAAGGAAGGGCTTCACCTCATAGCTAAGGCCGTGCTTGGCACACAGCGACTTGACCAGCGGGGCCACCCGGCTGTAGTTGTGTCTCGGCATCCTGGGAAAGAGGCTGGGGGTGGGGAGCGTGTGCTGGCACCTGAACTGGGAGGTTTCCAGCGAGAGGCCCTGCCCACTGGTCTCCTCCCACGACCCACTCCCCACTTCCCACAGGCCCCCAGCACCCACACTCACTGGTGCTCGATCTGGAAGTCGAGGTGCCCGCTGAACCAGTCGATGAAAAGTGAGGGCTCCACGTTGCAGGTGGCTACCAGCTACCGGAAGCCAGTGGGGCACAGGTGAGGAGCCGTCACAGATCCCTGATCTCACAGCACTGTCCCCCACCTGGCAGCCCCACCAGGGCCTCATCCCTCCTTTGCCAGCTGGCTCCTAGCTGGGATCCTCCCCGCCCCACCCAGGATGGGCCCCACCCAGCCCCCCTACTGCTGCCCACCTGAGAGCTGACCCAGTCCCGGTGCTTCTCATGGCCGATCTCCTTGGGGATGTGGTTTATCTGTGTGATCCACACAAACCAGTGGCTCTCCAGGACCCTGTGGAGGAGGCTTGGGCACTGCCCTAGGTCCAGCTCACCACTTAGGCTCCCTGAGTGGATGCTGGAGGGCGGCTGTCCCTGGGTGGCCTCGGCTTCCTTATCTGTACAATAGGATTGTGGTAATCGCCCCCTTGTCAGTGTTTAGAGAACCTGAATGGAGCAGCGTCCACTGTGAGGCTGAGCCCAGAGCAGCCCTGCTCTCAAAGGAGGACACCCATGGGACCACTTACAAGTCACGCCATGCTCCCTAAACCTGCTGACCCTGGGCTCCTCTCACGCTTGTGTTTATGTGATTCCGCCAGCGAGCCAGGGAGGCAGTAACCCCGGGCCCATTCTGCAGATGGGGAAAGGGAGGCTCTGGTGGGGGTGCAGTGGAGTCACCTGTCACCTGTGTGTGACCTCACCACTCCCTGCCATACCTGACAGCAACAAAGAAGAGCAGCACCCCAGGGACGCCGTAGAAGGGGAGGTAGGATAAGAAGAAGCGGGCATAGAAGCTGGCGGCCCAGAGCAAGTCCTGCAGAGGAGGGCAGAGGCGACACCGAGGGATCACCAGGCACCCGGGGGTCTGGAGGCCTGGCAGGTGGGAGGGGGACCTCAGGTTCCAACCCTTCTGCCTGATTTGCCTCAGAGCCCAGGACAGGCCACCACCCGCTCTGGTTTTCTCAGTTGAGTAAAGGAACAGGGTCCTTGCCTTGCCAGCTCACAGGGCTGACCTTAGAGATGAAGGTGTCATGTGGGGGGTGTTGGAGAAGGTCCTACCAGGGACACAGAGGCCTGGCAGAGGTGGCCCTGCAATTCCTCCCAAGAGGACACCCTCACTGAGAGAGACCCCCACACCTTCCATCCCTCAACCCCCGCATGCACACACAGTCACTGGCACACTCACTCTCCTGCTGCACACACACATGCAAACCACCTGCAGCACACACATGTGCACCCAGTGTGCCCTCATGGGCAGGTACTGTCCCCTAAGACACTACCTCCTGCCACAGCAGCCGGATGCCCAGGGTTCTGGGCAACCCCACTCACCGCCCACTGCATGCACACCAGCATGTATGCCAGATTTTCCACTTCAAAGTTCACCAGGATGAGCATCGGTGGGCCAACTGCAAGAAGGGGCATGAGTGTACTCAGGAGCGGGGCCGGGTTGCCGAGGCAGGTAGGCAGCAGAGTGAGGGGCTGTTACCCCAGGAACGCTCCTGGGACCTCCTGCACCCAGTTCTGGTCACATCCATCTGGTGGTGCTGGTCACATCCATCTGAGATGACCCCACATTGCCCCTGACCCTGTGTCCAAGCCTCCCCAGGCTGCCCTCACCCCACAACCTCCCGCCTCCCTTCTGCCACAGGTCAGAGCCAGCCTTGAGTACTTGCTCTGTCCACCCCAACAATGGCCCAAAGTGTCTAGAGCCCCAGACGGCTCTAGTGTGAGGGCAGGAAGAAATTCTACGTGGGGCTTGAGGAAGCACCCAGCGGGGCTGTGACGGCCTGTGAGGTGTCCCAGGCAGGACAAACAGCTGGGGAAGGTAACGGTGCTGGGACAGTATGTATAGGCTGCAGAGGCTGGGTGGGTGCCATGACAAGGAAGCGGAGGTGGCTGGGAGTGGTCCAGGACAGCAGGGAGGACAGTGCAGGCCCAGGCACACCCCCACCCCAGGAGGACAGATGGACACTCACTCAGGAAGAAGTACAGGTGCTGGTGGTTGTAGGGTAGGTACCTGCGTTTCTTCTTGCCGTACTGTGGAGACAGGCAGTGGCTGGAGACAGCAGCTCTCCAGGCCACCTCCTTCTCCCAGGCAAGGTCACAGGGCTGGCTGGGGCCAAGGGTCAAAGGCAACTCTATATTCTAGCAACCAGGTTGGTTGTCCCCAGCAGGTTGGGAGGTGGGAAGGAAAGACACGGGAGTGGGGCTCAGCCCAGCTAGAGTGAAGGCGAGATCAGGAAATAAGTCAAGGGCTAGGTCAAGGGTTAGATCAGGGGCTAGGTCAGGGGCTAGGTCAGGGGCTAGATCAGGGGCTAGGTCAGGGGCTAGATCAGGGGCTAAATCAGGGGCTACATCAGGGGCTAGGTCAGGGGCTAGGTCAAGGGCTAGGTCAGGGGCTATATCAGGGGCTACATCAGGGGCTAGGTCAAGGGCTAGGTCAGGGGCTATATCAGGGGCTACATCAGGGGCTAGGTCAGGGGCTAGGTCAGGGGCTAGGTCAGGGGTTAGATCAGGGGCTAGGTCAGGGGCTAGGTCAGGGGCTAGGTCAGGGGTTAGATCAGGGGCTACATCAGGGGCTAGATCAGGGGCTAGGTCAGGGGCTAGGTCAGGGGTTAGATCAGGGGCTAGGTCAGGGGCTAGGTCAGGGGTTAGATCAGGGGCTACATCAGGGGCTAGATCAGGGGCTAGGTCAGGGGCTAGGTCAGGGGCTAGGTCAGGGGTTAGATCAGGGGCTAAGTCAGGGGCTAGGTCAGGGGCTAGGTCAGGGGTTAGATCAGGGGCTAGATCAGGGGCTAGGTCAGGGGCTAGATCAGGGGCTAGGTCAGGGGCTAGATCAGAGGCTGTCAGGGGCTAGATCAGGGGCAGAGTGGGGACTCATTGCATTAGTTCCCCTGAGCTGCAGGCCCAGCCAGAGGGTGTCCACATCCCTCCCCACCCACCTCAATGGATGACTCCCCCAGGAGGAAGAACGGTGCCACCGTCACGTCTGGGTCTTTGTGGAAGATGTTGGGCTTGGCATGGTGCTGGAAGTGACGGAAGTTCCACCAGTGGGCGGAGAAGCCCTGTGGGGTAAGAGAGGGCTCTCAGGGGCAAGCTGTGCCTCCCACTCTGTGCCCACACACTTGGGTAGACCCAGTGCCTCTCCCCCAGCTCAGCACCCGCCTGCCCACCCACCCCACCCTCACCTTTAGCTGCCCCATCACGAACTTCTGGGCCACGTGGTTCCACCGGGATTTCTTGAAGACGGAGGCGTGGCCCAGGTCATGCTGCAGACACCAGGACTGAGCCTGGGGACACAGGCAGGGTCAGAAGCTGTTGGGAAGGACGGAGCCCCAGCAAACTCTTTCAGCTTGCCAGGTACCCCTGCGCGAATGCTCCATTTCAACACCCTTGTGGGCCAGCGTCCTCTTTTTACAGATGAGAACTGAGTCCCAGGGAGGTGAAGGGGCTTGTGTCATGAAGCTGCAGGGCAGCAGCCTATGGCTCTATGGCCCTGTGCTTGATCAGGATTTTTTTTTTTTTAAGAGACAGGGTCTCACTATGTTGCCCAGGCTGGAGTGCAGTGGCTATTCACAGGCGCGATCCCACTACTGATCAGCACAGGAGTTTTGACCTGCTGTGTTTCCTACCTGGGCCGGTTCACCCCTCCTTCCATTCCTTAATCCCCGCACCCACGAATCGTCACTGGCACACTCGCTCTCCTGGTGGTTCCCTGCTCCCAGGAGGTCACCATATTGATGCCGAACTTAGTGCGGACACCCAATTGGCATAGCTCATTATAGCCCAGAACTCCTGGGCTCAAGCAATCCTCCAGCCTCAGCCCCAGCCTCCTGAGTAGCTGGGACTACAGGCACGCGCCACTGCACTTAGCAGGATTTGTTAAATAAGGGACTTCTTGGATCAACTGGGATGCAGCTTGACCCACACACACACCTGATAGGACTTCAGGCTGTTCATTCATCCGTTTATTCGCCCATTCATCCATTCAAGGCCCATTCATTCATTTAGCAAATATGTTCCCAATGCCCAGGTGCACTGGGGCCTATGTCTGTTGGGCAGTTAGGGCAGCTGCAACACAGAGCTGGGGTCACCTGGGAAATGGCCAGGATGAAGGCGGCCAGGGTGCTGGGCACCCAGCCAGGACCCAGGAGGTAGATGAGGAGCCAGGCCAGCACCTCCATGGCCAGGATGTGGCCCAGCAGGAAAGCAAAGAAGGTGGGACTGGCATCAAACAGCTTCATGTCCTCAGCTGCCTGGTGCAGAGCTCGGAAGTCCTCGACCAGCTGTACCTGCCATAGCGGAGGAGCCGGTCAGCCAGGGAAGCAATTCTTCCCCACCCCCATTCTCCTGGAGCCCCAGCCACTCCTCCCAGCACCAGGCCCAAGGGGTGTGTGCAAAGGGGAATGAAGGGACAAGAACATCCAGCCCAGGACACTGGCTGCTGGTGAAGCCTCCTCTCCCTCCCAAAAGGTATGGGGTGGGTAAGAGGCTGCAGTCAGGAGAGAAATCAGCTCATCAAAACCCTCCTGGTAGATGAGGATGCTGAACCACAACCGGGAAGGAACTTGCCTCGGGGTCCGAATGAGTGCTGGGCTGAACCAGACCTGGAGTCCCGGGCTTCTCAGGGCAACCCTATAGCTTCACTTCCAACTTCCTGCCCCCTGGGAGGGGAGGGCAGGCCAGCCCCGGCCCTGCATCCCCTTGGGCAAATGCCCATGGAGCTGCTCCAGGCCACGTCTCGATGTCTCCCTCTCAGCCCTCCAGCCATCCCGCTTCCTCAGGGGCCGAGCCTCCCCCAGGGCCCTGCTCACATTCAGGGGTCCATCCTGGCTGGGTTCCTCCGGGGCCAGCTCTCCAATCAGCAGGGGCTGCAGGAACTTGCGCACAAAATTGAGGTCTTGATGGAAGACACGGAAGGCATCCTGAAGGAGAACAGACAGTCAGGCGGACGGACAGACAGACACAGCTGAGTAGCACAGTAGCAGCCAGCAGAGACAGGTGGAAGAACTATGGATGGATGGGCAGAGCAGACACAGACAGACAGAAAGTCAGTCGGCTGATGAACAGTCAAAGGCATGGGACCGAGTGGGTCCACCTTGCCCATGAGCCCTCCCTGGTCCTCTCAGGGCCCCAGGTTGTCCTGCTTTTCACCCATCACCTGCTGTGCCCCATTCACTTCACCCAGCACAAGGGCCCTTCTCTGAACACGGTCAAACATCTACAGCTCTGGATTTACATAAAGACCTCCCTGGAAGACTGATTTCTTCCCCCTCCCCACCCGAGATGGAGTCTCACTCTGTTGCCCAGGCTGGAGTGCAGTGGCATGATCTAGGCTCACTGTAACCTCCAACTCCCTGGTTCAAGCAATTCTCCTGCCTCAGCCTCCTGAGTTAGCTGGGTCTACAGGCTTGCGCCACCACACCCAGCCAATTATTGTATTTTTAGAGATGGGGTTTCACCATGTTGTCCAGGATGGTCTCAATCTCTTGACCTCATGATCCATCTGCCTCAGCCTCCCAAAGTGCTGGGATTACAGGTGTGAGCCACTGTTCCCCGCCCAATAAAGATACTGCCTGACTTATAAGGGTCCCAAAGATTTTTGCTTTTGTTTTTGAGACATACTCTTGCTCTATTGCCTAGGCTAGAGTGCAGTAGTGTGATTTTGGCTCACTGCAACCTCTGCCTTCCAGGTTCAAGCAGTTCTCTGCCTCAGCCTCCCAAGTAACTGGGATTACAGGTACCTGCTACCACACCTGACTAATTTTTGTACTTTTAGTAGAGATGATGTTTCACCATCTTGAAGGTCAGGTTGGTTTCAAACTCCTGACCTTGGGATCCACCTGCCTCCACCTCATGAAGTGCTGGGATTACAGGCATGAGCCACCATGCCCAGCCATTTCTTGAACCACAAAAACAGGTTTTGCTTTTCCAAAAAGCTTTCTGTAAGTCATACATGTTTCCACTGCATGTAGAATAAAATCTGGGTCACAAACATTTGATTTATCCCGTTTTTACAAACATAAGCAGTGGGTGAAGGGTAGGTGGGAAAACTTATAACTGAGGACCACTGGGTCTCAGGGTGGGGGCAGATCAGTCAGGGGCCACACACACTGAGTTCTTTGGGGTTTGTGAGGAAGACACTTGAACATTTAAACCCATTTGACTTACAAAGCAAGAAGCAGGAGCAGAAATTATAATTTTTTTTTGTTTTGAGACAGAGTCTTGCTCTATTTATTGCCCAGGTTGGAGTGTAGTAACACAATCTCAGCTCACTGCAAACTCCGTCTCCTGGGTTCAAGCGATTATCTTGTCTCAGTGATTATCTACTCACCTGAGTGGCTGGGATTACAGGCACGTGCCACCACACCTGGCTAATTTTTGTGTTTTTAGTAGAGACAGGGTTTTGTCATGTTGACCAGGTTAGTCTCCAACTCTTGACCTCAGGTAATCCGCCCACCCTGGCCTCCAAAAGTGCTAGCATTACAGGTGTGAGCCACCAGGCCTGGCCTAATTTTTTTTTTTTTTTTTTTTTTTGAGACAGAGTTTTGCTCTTGTTACCCAGGCTGGAGTGCAATGGCACAATCCTGGCTCACCGCAACCTCCGCCTCCTCGGTTCAGGCAATTCTCCTGCCTCAGCCTCCTGAGTAGCTGGGATTACAGGCACACACTACCATGCCCAGCTAATTTTTTGTATTTTTAGTAGAGACGGGGTTTCACCATGTTGACCAGGATGGTCTCGATCTCTGGACCTTGTGATCCACCCGCCTCGACCTCCCAAAGTGCTGGGATTATAGGCGTGAGCCACCGCGCCTGGCTTTTTTTTCCTAAGTAAATAAAGTGGGCCAGGCACTGTGGCTCATGTGTGTAATCCCAGCATTTTGTGGAGGCCGAGGCACAAGGGTTGCTTGAGGCCAGGAGTTCAAGACCAGCCTGGGCCACATAGTGAGACCTTGTCTCTATTTTTTTTTTTAAAGACAGAGTTTCACTCTTATTGCCCAGGCTAGAGTGCAAAGGCATGATCTCAGCTTACTGCAACCTCCATCCCCCGGGTTTAAGTGATTCTCCTGCCTCAGCCTCCCGAGTAGCTGGGAAAACAGGCATGCGCCACCACCCCCAGCTAATTTTGTATTTTAAGTAGAGACAGGATTTCTCCATGTTGGTCTGGCTGGTCTCGAACTCCTGACCTCAGTAATCCACCTGCCTCAGCCTCCCAAAGTGCTGGGATTACAGGTATGAGCCACCCCACCCAGCTGCCCTTGTCTCTATTTTTACAAAAAAGAAAAAAAAAGTAAATGAAATGAATAATCTAATATTCTTGCAATTCTCTGTAATAGCTGGAGTTGGGGTGGAGTACAATGCAGAAGGAAGAAGGAGGAAAGAAGGAGGGCGAGAGCTCAGAAAGATAAACCCAGGGAGAGAGCAGCCAGGAAGTGGCCCCAGAAGTAAAGTAAACTTGAACTTCACACAGAGGCTCACTTAGCTTCCGGATCTGCCCACGGTCTTGGTATTGCAATCGGCTCATTAATTGTTCACAACTCGTCGACTGATTTTTTTTTTACTTTCAGAGGGTCTCAGAATGGGCTAGCCTGAACTGTAGGAGCAGGGGCTGGGTGGTGGTGTCCCCATGGGTCTGGAGAAGGTGACTGAGAGGCCTCCCAGATGCTAAAGGAAACACCTTTGAAGAAAGCTGACCGAGGACAGGAGGGGCCTCCTATTGTCCTCTTGCTAATGAGCCTACCAGCTGGTGTACCTTAAAACAGAAGTGACGGCTGGGTGCGGTGGCTCAAGCCTGTAGTCCCAGCACTTTGGGAGGCTGAGGCGGGTGGATCACGAGGACGGCGGATCGAGACCATCCTGGTCAACATGGTGAAACCCCGTCTCTACTAAAAACTACAAAAAATTAGCTGGGCACAGTGGCGTGTGCCTGTAAACCCAGCTACTCGGGAGGCTGAGGCAGGAGAATTGCCTGAACCCAGGAGGCGGAGGTTGCGGTGAGCCCAGATCGCGCCATTGCACTCCAGCCTGGGTAACAAGAGGGAAACTCCGTCTCAAAAAAAAAAAAAAAAAAAAACCAGAAGTGACAGCCAGCGGTCCCTGAAGTCACTGCCAGGACATTCTCCTGCAACCCTGGGGCAAAAAGCACTTCAGGCCCCTCCAGCACCCACTAAGAGGTAACACCTACTTGGTCTACTAGGGGTCCCCCTGCCTGCTCTTACAGGCCCAGAGCGGCCTGGGGACTGGGGAGCTGGTAGGGTGTGCCCCTTCTAGAATAACCCAGGCTGGCTTGGCTCCATCACGACAGAGGAGGGGACTGTGTAAGTGCAGACCTCACCTCTTTGAGATGAATCTTGAAGGAGGGGCAGCAAAATTGGGAGAGAAAGCGGCAGAGGGAAGACTGGGGATCCCCAGGAAGTTGTCTGGGCTCCCGGCTGCCTGCAGAGTTAGGTGTCGACAGGGGAGCCAGGAGGGAAGACTGGTGGGGCTCTACTGAGTCACCACTGGGTGACTTGTTTTCTTTTTTCAGAGATGGAGTCTTACTATGTTACCCAAGGTCAGCCTCAAACTCCCGGGCAAACCAAGGCAACAAGACTTCAGGGTCTTTCTGGGTCTGGAATGCTGAGCATTAACTCTTAAAAAATACCTTTTTTTGGAGACAGGGTCTTGCTGTGTCACCCAGGCTGGAGTGCAGTGGTGCAATCACTGCTCACTGCAGCCTCAACCTCTGGGGTTCAGGTGATCCTCCCATCTTAGCCTCGCCTGGAGTTGTCAGTACAGGTGTGTGCCACCACGCCCAGCTAATTTTTTTTTTTTTTTTTTTGTATTTTTTGGTAGAGATGGAGTTTGTTTACCATGTTGCCCAACTGGACTTAAACTCCTGGTCTTACGCTCCTGGTCTTAAACTCAAGCGATCCACCCCACTCAGCCTCCCAAGGTACTGGAATGACAGGAATGAGCCACCATGCCCAACCCAAAAAAACACTTAAAAATGTTTTTGAGACAGGGCCTCGCTCTGTCACCAAGCTGGAGGGCAGTGGCTTAATCATGGCTCACTGCAGCCTTGAAATCCTGGTCGTAAGTGATCCTCCCATCTCAACCTCCACGGCAGCTGGGACTACAGGCATAAGCCACCATGTCTCATTAACTTTTGAACTTTTTTGTAG